TTTATACCATATATTAGGGCCCTTAAGTTTGACCCTAAATTTTCCTTGAGAAACTGTATAGTTCTAGGTTTCACATTTAAGTCTTTGATCCATCTGCAGTTCGTTTTTGTGTGTGGTGTGATGTTTACCTGTGTTTTATTGACCATGCAAAGGCATTCAACTGTGTGGATCATAACAAATTATGGATAGCATTGTGAATAATGGGAATTCCAGAACACTTAATTGTACTCATCAGAAACCTGTACATAGACCAGGAGGCAGTTACTCAGACAGAACGATGGGACCCTGCATGGTTTAAAATCAAGACAGGTGTGCATTGGGGTTGTATCCCTTCACCATACTTACGCCAGTCTGTATGGTGAGCAAACAATCTGAGAAGCTGTAGTATAGGAAGAAGAACGTGGCATCAGGATTGGAGGCAGACTCATTAACAACCTGCAACATGTAGATGGCACAGTCTTGCTGCTGAAAGTGAGGACGACTTGAAGCACTTGCTGATGAAGATTGAAGACTACAGCCTTCAGTATGGATTACATCTCAACATAAAGAAAATGAATTTACTCACAACTAGACCAATAAGCAACATCATGATAAACTGAGAAAGATTGAAGTTGTCAGGGATTTCATTTTACTTGGATCAATCCACAATCAAAGCCCATGGAAGCAGCAATTAAAAAATCAAATGACGTATTACATTGGGCAAATCTGCTGCAAAAGACCTCTTTAAAGTGTTAAAGAGCAAAGATGTCTCTGTGAAGACTAAGGTGTGCCTGACCCAAGCCGTGGTATTTTCAATCGCCTCATATCCAAGTGAAACCTGGACGATGAACAAGGAAGACTGAAGAAGAATTGGTCTTTGAGTTACGGTGTTGGCAACGAATATTGAACGTACCGTGGACTGGCAGAATGAACAAATCTGTTCTGGAGGAAGGGCAGCCGGGACGCTCCTTGGGAGGAGCGAGCAAGGCTTCACCTCATGTGCTTTGCACATGTTATCAGGAGGGACCAGTCTCTGGAGAAGGACATGACGCTCGGTATGGAGTCAGCAAAAAAGAGGAAGACTTTCAATGAGATGGACTGGCACCGTGGCTACAACAACGGGCTCACACATAGCAAGGATTGTGAGGCTGGTGCCGGACTGGACACCTCTGCTGTGCACAGGGTTGCTGTTAGTCAGAAGCCAGCCGACAGCACCTAACAGCAACGGGGTGAGTGGGAGGGGCACGAACTGTCGTTGGCAGAGATGGAAAACAGGCGGAAAGGCATGGTGGTGATGGTCACCCAGCTTGACGAGTATAATTAATGTTACTTGAAAAAGTTAAAGTGGGAAAAGTTTTGTTATGTATATTTCATCGAGGGAGCTTTGGTGGTGCAGTGCCTAAGGCACTTGCCTGCTGACCAGAAGGCTGGCAGTTCAAACCCACCAGGCACTCCTCAGAAGGAAGGTTGGGCAATCTACTTCCCTAGTGATACTGTTGTTGTTGTTAAGTGCCGTCGACTCGTTTCCGACTCATAGCGACCCCATGCACAGCAGAACGAAACACTGCCCGATCCCGCGCCAGCCCCACAATCCCTCCTATACTTGAGCCCATCATCGCAGCCACTGTGTCAATCCATCTCATTGAAGGCGTCCCCCTCTTTCGTCGACCCTCCACCCTACCAAGCATGACATCCTTCTCCAGGGAATGGTCCCTTCTGACAACATGACCAAAATAGCTGAGACGAAGTCTGGCCATTCCCGCTTCCAAGGAGCATTCTGGCTGCACTTCCTCCCTAGTGATAGTGCCTGGGAAACCCAAGGAGAGGTCGCTATGAGTCGGATCCAACTCGACAGCAGTGAGTTTAGTTATGTTTCATCGACATGACATTTAAAAGACAGAAAACAAGGTGACTCACACTCAATCTGTGGTGGCCAGGAGCTGAGGCGGCAGGAAAGACGGGCGAGCCCATGACTCCCCAGCGACCACCCCTCGGGGTATCTGAAGAAGAACTGTTTTCCCACTGTCCTGCAGGATTCAGGACCCAGGAGTCAGGGCCCACTGCGTGTGGGGTCCTACTGTGGCTTAAGGCAAGGGAGAGAATTCGGCAGCTGGCTCTTAGTTCTGTCAGGCTGTGGGGGGCGAGGGAGTGTTTCTACCCTGGTCCCAGTCAGGTGAGAGGTTAGGGCCCCCTGGGGCACTCTGTGGTGGCCTGGGCCAGCTAAGGTGCACGCTGCTGTCTGTTGAAAACATTCCCGGTCGGTGGCATCATGTCGCGCAGGCCCGCGGGGGCGGCTGCGTCTGGAATGTCAACAGTTTGCCAGGCCCAGGAGTCCAGAGCATGCCTGAGCTGAGGCCCACCCCTACCCGGGGCTGCCGGGAGACCAGGTCTGAGCATCTGCAGCGGGTGGCAGCCAGAGGCAGGTGTCTGAGCCCTGGTGCCGGGGCGTGCTCCCAGCCCCCCAGCTCTGTCGCTGCTCCTTTCCCCACCCCAGCTCTGCTGGAATCCCTCCAAGGACCCTAGTCCCTTCCTTCCTCCGCGACTTGACACTTGTCTGCTCCACCATGCTCCCTCTCACCCTCCCACATTAGCTGACTCTGGACCAGGTGCTCCCCTCTCTGGGCCTCAGTTTCCCCGAAGCATTGGGCATTCCTTCCAGGTCTGCTTTTAAATGCCAGCCCTCCCACCCCTGAGATGAAGCCTCTGTGGGTCTGAGATCTGAGATCTGCCATCACCTGGAAGGCCAGGGCTGGGATGCCCCAGGCTCCTGTATGATCTCATTGCTTCTGTCGCCATCCCCATTAAGCAGAAGAGACACCTAGGAGGTTAATCCACTCTGCCTGTTCCACCCCTATCCCCGGACCTTGGGGGCTGGGGGATTGGTAGATAAACTGAGACCAGACAGAGTGGGTGAGGGAAATGTCCAGGAAACCCTGGCTTTGGGGCTGAGAGCTGGGTAGAGCTGCTTCCCTAATGTCCATGCTGTGTGTCTTTGGGCAAGTTGACTGACCTCTCTGAACTTCGGCTTCCCCCACAATAAAAGGGGTTAGTAATGGTTCCATGCCAAAGTTGTTATCGGGAGCTCTGGTAGCATAGAGCCTAAGGCATTTGACTGCTAACCAGAAGGCTGGCGGTTCAAACACACCAGCCACTCCCCGGGAGGAAAGTTGGGCAATCTACTTCCGTAGTCATACCGCCTCGGAAACCCAAGGAGGGGCCACTATGAGTCAGGTCCGATTCGACCACACATAACAACAACTTTTGGACCAATGAAGATCGCAGACGGGAATGTCTAAATCACAGAATGCTGTCCTAATCATTAACTCAAATCAAAACAACTCAACTCACTGCCACAGAGTCGATTCCGACTCATAGTGACCCTCATTGGGGTTCCAAGGCTGTTAATCTTTACGGAAGCAGACTGCCTCATCTTCTTCCAGGGAGCGGCCGTTGGGTTCGAATCACTGATCTCATGGTTAGCAGCCAAGTGCCTTAACCACTGAACCACCAGAGTTCCTTTCTTATTAACAAGCTGTTTAAAATCAATTCCAAGTTCCCAAAACAAAAAAAACAAACTCATTGCCGTGGAGTCAGATATGACTCATAGAGACCCCTCCTCGGTTTCCCAAAGTTGGTCACTACAGAATAGATTGCCCAACTTTCCTTCCGAGGAAGGGCTGGTGGGTTTGAACCACCAAGCCACTCGTTAGCAGTCAGATACCGTAGGCGCTACGACACTAAAGCTTCTACAAGTCGCCTCCTCTTCCCAAAGTACCTGTAATCACCCCGTGTTGCCAAGGCAACGGCTCTGCCCGACCCTCACAGAAAACCGAGGGAAGAACCAATCACAGCGTTCTGTCGGGGTATGTCCCCAACCCTCCTGGGCCCCACTGCCCTCTGGGAGTTGTGGTTCTGGCGGTGAATTTCCGGCCGGGCTATGAGACTACAACTTCCGGCAGGCGGCGCGGCGCGGAAGCGCAGGCGCAAGTGCTGAGCGGCGGGCTGGGGCCGCGTGCGGTATGTCGGCGCTCGGCTGGGGCCGCGGCGCCGCGGGGTTGGGGCGAGCCCTGGTGACCCCGGGCCGCTCCAGCCTCCTGGCCGAGAAAGGTAACGCGGAGATCGGTCATACGGCCCGGGACGACGCCGCGGTCGCTGCCGCGCTAGCCCCGCGACAGTGACCTTTGGCCTTTTGGGACCCTGGGATCTAGCTAACCCAGACCTTAACCCCTTGCATAGTGGGATTTTGGGGAACCCACTGACACCCGGCCCGCGTTTCACTGGCCTTTGCCCTGCTCCATTGACGGGGCAACAGGGCCCTTTGGCTCGGTTGTTTTGAGAACTCTGACGCCTTCAGTTGCGATTTAGGGACGCTTGACCTGGCATTGATTAAGGGCTCGGCTGCTAACCAAAAAGTCAGCGGTTCGAACCCGACAACCACTCCGAGGAAGAAAGAGGTGGCATTCTGCTTCCGTAAGGATTACAGCCTTGGAAACCCTCTCGGACAGTTCTCTGTTCTCTAGGGTCACTGTGAGTGGGAATGGACTGGACCACCATGGTTTGACTTTTGAACCCTCTGTACCTTTAAGTTCCTAGAACCCTTCAACCTTCATTTTAGCGTTGGAGGCCCCCTTCTTCTTTAGTCTCAATTTCTTTCCAATTTGAGGCCCTGCTGATAGTGTCCAGTCCCCCAGTCTTAGTCCACATGAGGTCCCAGTCCCCCTTGTGTCTCTCACAGGGCCTGGGGCCCTTGGTGGCATCTGGGGCCGCGGAAGGAGCTCGTCGGCCAGCCCTTGTGAACGAGATCGCCGGAAGGACTGGGGCCACGTGGAGCTGCTGGAGGGTGAGGCCCCTTCCTTGGCATCACCACTGTGGGCCGCTCTCCCAGGTCACACCCACGAGAACACTGAAGGAGAAGAAACTAAGGCTTACTCTCAGATTGGGTAGCGGTGGATACCCACCTCTTGGGGGTGTCCTAAGGGGCTACTGGGAAGGCAGCGCAGAGGGTGTGGCTTCTCGTGGTGTGATCAGGAAAGACCAGCACTGCAGTCATGACCAGTGTCCTTGCCGCCTCCTCAACCCGGCTGTGTGCACCCACCTGAGCCCTTTTCCCCTCCCCCACAACCCCAGTGGGTGCTCCCAGTTACCAGAGAACATATTTGAGGCCCCAAGGTGTGGCACCCAGCCCACCCATGGCAGGGACGAGGTGCCATGACCAGCTGACCCCGTCTCAGTTCTCTGGAGCTGGGTGCCAGCAGAATACAGCTTCCACTCCTTCCTGTCTTTGGAACTTGGGAAGAGCAACCCAGTCCCCGATGGTCCCCACATGCCTGGCTGTTGGGTGCCAGCCGTGAACCAAGTTGACTAAGTCCTTGTGGTGAGGGAAGCGGGTCAGGAGGAGGGAGTATGTGTGAGGGGTTAACTGTTGGTAGTGGTGCTGGTAAGGTGGGAGCTGGCAGGGGCTGTGACGGTGGCTGTGAGGAGGCAGGTTCAGAGCTCGCGGATTCCAGACAGACGAACAGCGTGTGCAAAGGCCCTGAGGCAGATCCCAGCCTGGAAAGTTGGAAGAACAGCAGAGAGGCCCATGTGGGGGCAGGGGAGAGAGGGGGAAAGAGAAAGGGAGGGCACAGGCAAGTTGTGCCTGTGGACAGGGAGGACGCAGCTGTTTACCTGAGGAAGGTGGGAATCCTGGGGGCAGTGAGCAGAGCAGGGAGGGCCAACTTGGTGCTCGTGGGCGCCCTCTGCTGGCTGTGGGGAGAACATCGTGGCGGCAGCAGGAAGGGGCAAACAGGAAGTGGTTTCTAGACAGATTTTGAAGGCAGAACCCTGAGGATGTGGTGGTGGGTGTGCTGGGGGTGGAGGAAGGAGCTGACGACGCTGGGGTTGGTGGCTTGAGTTCCCGTAAGGATGGTACAGCAGTGAGAGGGCAGGATGCAGGGGGCAGGGTTAGGGACAAGGACGGGTGCTGAGTGGTGGTGGGCGTGTGTGTCTGGGCTCAGGGTGGCAGTCGGGGCAGATGGACATTACGGGGTTGTCGGCCACTGCTTTGACCTTCCAGACGGGAGACGGCCGCCTGCGGCACAGGTGGCGTCTGCGGTGACACGAGCTTGAACTAGTCCCTCTGACACCCCCCTGCTGTGCTCCCCACGCAGTGCTCAAGGCACGGGTCCGGCAGCTGCGGGCCGAGTCGGTGTCAGAGGTGACGGTGAAGCGGGTGGCCGTGACTCGGATCCCAGAGGGCGGTGGCGGCGGCTCCCAGCCGCGCGGGAAGGCCGAGGCAGGGGCTGCGCTGGAGCTCCGTGGCCGCTGGGCAGAGAAGCTAGACAAGGAGAAGTGGATTATGCAGAAGCGCAAGCAGCGGCTGGAGGTGAAGCTGCAGGCCCACGCGCAGAAGTTGGCCCAGGAGCCACCACCGAGGCCACTGCGGCCACTGCGTGTGGAGCCGCGGTTACAAAACGGGCAGCTGGCTGGCTGCCTGCAGCGGTGGGCGCGAGGGGGCCCTGCCGGCCCCTGGGAGGAGCAGCTGGCCCAGGCGCTGCAGGAGGCCCCGCGGAAGCTGAGCCGGGAAGAGGCACAGGCCCCGGCCGACAGGGCGGCCGAGGCGCAGCTCTCGGGCCGGCGGCAGAAGCTCCTGGCCTTCCTGGAGTGCTGCCTGCTCACAGACCACCTGCCCCTTGCCCACCATGTGCTGGTCACCCAGCATGGCCACCTCCGACGCCGGCGGCTCCTCACGCTCGCCATGTACAACACTGTCATGCTTGGCTGGGCCCGCAAGGTAAGTGGTGGCAGGGGGTGGGGGACAGGGCACGGGAGAAAGATTCCTCTGTGGGACTCACGCTGTCTGTTAGGGGTAGAAGCCGAGGCCCGAGGACAGGGCGGGACTCACCCACCCTCTGCTGGTCCCTAGCAAGGAGCAGGCAGGTTTGACCCTTGTCTTCTTAGCTCTAAAGTTCAAGAGCTTTATGTGTTAATGTTTTAATAATACTTGAAGCTCTGATGGCGCAGAGCCTAAAGCATTTGACTGCTGGCGGTTCAAACCCAGCAGCTACCCCCTCGGAAGGAAGGCTGGGCAATCTACTTCCCTAGAGATACTGCCTCGGAAACCCAAGGAGGGGTCGCTGTGAGTCCAGTTGACTTGATGGCAGTGAGTTTGGTTTTGGTTTTAGGTATTTCAAGTATAAATTAAACATGGCTTTCAAAGGAAAGTTGAAAATGAAAAAAGGAAGGAACCCTGGCTGACATTTTAGTGCATTTCTTCCTGCCCAGGCTTCTAAGCTGTCTAGTGCAAGAGGCAATTTTGGCATCTTGGGCAGCCTATAGACCCCTTCTCAGGATAATGATTTTAATGCTTTGGGCTTAGTGTGCTCTTCTTTTTCTGGTTTCCTAAGGTAGAAGGTTGGGTCATTAGTTTGTGATTTTTCTTTTGTGATACAAGGGTTTATGGCTATAAATTTTCCTCTAAGTGTTGCTTTAGCTGCATCCTTTAAGTTTTGGTATCTTGTGTATTTGTTTTGTTTCATTGCAGAGTATTTTTATTTCCTTTTGCTGTTCAGATTCCTTTCAAAGGGGGAAAAATGCCCAAAGTTGTACCACCCCATGATTCTGCAGTTGTAATTTGAGAAATGCTGTTACTTTAGATGACCACAGTGTCGGTGAGATGGGTTTTGAGTGATCATCTTAGCTGGGTTGCCCAATGTGACTGTCACCAGCCACACAAAGTCGTTCAGTTTAAGTTGAAATGAAATATTCTGCTCTATGTCATACCAGGTGTTTCATGCGCTCAGTAACCACTGAGCTGTCACGTGGCCAGTGTTGTTGGACTGAACACACAGCTGTAGAACGCATCAATTGTAGCAGAGTGTTCTGTTGGACGGCACTGGCCCATCATGTACATTTGTCCTTCTTTTTAAAATAATTTTATTTTTAGTATGAAAGTTTTTTTTTAATTGTGATTTGGGTGAAAATTTACAGAGCAAATGCACTTTCCATACAGCAGTTCACATACACTTTCTCTCATGACATTGAGCACAATTCACCACAATGCAACAGCTCCCCTCTCACTACCTCGCTACAGTCACCTCCTCCCTGTGTGCATCCCTCCATGCACTCCTGCTCCCTGAGCTGTCTCCCTGTGCATAAACAGCCCTTCTTTCTCCCATAATTGTTCTCTCCAAGGAGTGTATCTACCTTAGGTAAATGTCCAACTCATATGCCTGTCTTTTGTTTGGCTGGAAGCCACAGGTATGGATTCAATTCCAGACCTGAAGGGCAGCTAGGGGCTATAGTCTCAGGGGTTCTACCAGGCTCTATCAGACCAGCAAACCAGGTCCCCCTTTTTTTTCCAATTGCTTTTGAGTTTCGTTTCACATTGTTCTCCCTCTCTATCCGGGGTCTCCTACAGAGATCTCCTTCCAAGTGGATGACAGTTGGTAGGCACCATCTAGTTCTTCTGGTCTCATGGTCATGTAGGCTGAGGATTGCATGGTGTACCAGTCGCTAGGACTAATTCTTTCCATGAATCTTTGGTTTTCTTCATTCTTCTTTCTCTGGAGGAGGAGAGACCTATTGTTGCATCCAGATGGTTGCTTGCAAGTTTTTAAGATCCCAGTCACTACTTGCCAAAGTAGGGGGTGGAACAATGTTTTATGTAGTATGTCATGCCACTTGAGCTTGATGTCCCCTGTGACTATGATCCTGAGCCCACAGGTTCAACTCCTCGGTCCCTCTGGGTAGCTGGCTGTGACCAAGCAGTGACCACAACCTTGCCCCTTGTCAGCTCTACTATACACCTGGGAATT